CCCCAGAGGGCTTCTCAACCATGATTTCAATATATATTATTCTGTATTTCATTTCTTTTCCTTCTGCTTACCTGTAGATACCCCCAACTACATCCTGCCAATCCAAAGACAACCCCAAAATATCTGTATTCCATCTTCACCTCTATCTTACTTCTCAGTGTCAAGAAAGCCTTAACAATATATCAACAGGGATTTGAATTGTTCCCCCCCTGCCATGTCAGAATGGTCCTTAATTTTATCACCAGTCTATATATTTTCAGGGACCTCACATACTGGACTCTCCAGGACCACTCCAATTTCAAATATATCTGCTTCTCAGACCAGTGGTTCCAAGCTTTGGTTTGGAAAAATCAGATCATAACATGCTACCAAAAGCCATTCAAACGAACGTAAGTAATTACTATATTGACATGTCTTTCCTTTGGTCACTCAGAAAGCCATCAGCACTAACTGAACACCTATTTCAATTAGAAATTGCATCTTTACTTTTGGACACTAAGAGGAAATCATACTTACTACATGGCAAATGAGACATGACTCAGGCCCACTGGGGATTTATTGGTCCCCGTGCCCACCTACCCTCATCACAGGAACTTAACCCCAGTCCTCAGCATGCCTGTGTTACCATGCGCCACGCATGTGCACACACATGAGGGCTGGCCCTTTATCGATCCTTAAACTCCTACTCAGAGAGGCCACAGCAGTGATGGCCTGAGGGCATTAAAGAATGATCCTTTTCTCTTTACCTTTCCCAAGTCCTGGGTTCGTGTTTCCCAGATTTAACCACACCTGGCAGGCATCTTCCTTGCCCTGACCACTTAAAGAAGCACCCAAGGCAACTTGGTGATCTGTTACTAGTATTTCGGCAGCTTCCCACACATACACAAATAGGAATATGGCCGCTTTCTATGAAATGTCCCCATAAAGATGGATGTTAGTTGGCACAAAAAGCATGAGTATATGCAACAGTCTTCAAAGGGGAAACTAAAGGAATTTTCTCCCAAGAGTTATTTCTAGTGACAACGAATCTAGAGCCACAGTATTTGTTAAAGTGTGGCATACACAATGGTGTTCACATAACTAAAGATCAAACAGTAGGTCAACAGGAAACTGAAGATGGCCCATGGGTAAAGAGAAGCGGGAGATGTAATGACTGGCACTTATGATCACAAATCATATTCCAGGCACTGTGCTCAGCCACACACATGCATTCTCCTTCTAATCCTTACTACAACCTGTGACATGGGGCCCATCGCTAGACACACTTCCGGAAGAAATTGAGGCATGGTGAGGTGAACACCTGGCTAGGCAGCAGTGGAGTCAGGACTTGACCCATTGTCTGACCACAGCGCCCCACCTTGTAACCACACTGTTATTCTATACAGTCAGTCTGGACTCAGCACCGCCTAGGAGGCAGGGTTAAAATGCCTCTGGATTCCAAACCCTCTTACTTAAACACCCTTTGCTTTGACTCCACATCCACGCAATAATCTTCAGATGATAATTTGGCCTCTCTGGTATCAGGACAACAGGGCAAGTGTTGCAAGTTGCCTGAGTTTCTCCCTGTGAAATGAAGTGGCTTCCCTCAGCCCCCAGGGGCTTTGGTGCCTCCCTTCCTCCTCCCAAGCCCAGGCACCCTTTATTCTCCTTTTCACCCCCCAAGCCCCGGAAACAGCCAGCTCTCAGAATGCTCCAGCTCCAGCCAGCCAGCCCTCCCTTGTATAAAATCTCCACCGTTTCTGATGTCCATTTTTTAATTTTGTTTTCCACAGACACCGCACCTCACTTCCCTCTTGAGCTATGGGAAGGTGGTAAACGCACACATACGCTTACTCTGTTGAGAGCCCTGCCTTCTGTCATTTTGACTAGACACTCTTTTATTCCCCTTTATGTTTTCTTTAAACCAAAAATCTCCCCGTGATCTATGCTCCTTGAAACTAGTTGACTCTTAGACACCAACTCTGTCAGTGTCACCACAATATGGCTTCCCTGTGTCCAGTTCCTGGGCTCTCGCAAGAAGAAATAGATGACATTTGAGCTGGACCCTTTTTCACCGTACTATTAAAATCCCTTATATACACAACTATGTATGTATACATATATATGTTTTTCATATATATTTAATACATTATATATAACATCTATGTATAAAATACGTTTTTACCCATTTGTTTTATCTAAAACCCAAGAAGGCTCTGTCAAGCACTGAGCTTTTACCTGGCCCTGGGGAGGTCATGCCTCAAAGGCCTGCCCTGCCCACACCCCTTCCAAGGACCCACGGGCCCAGGCAACTCTGACTCCACTGGGAGGCCTGTGAGTCGAGGGAACCAGTCCTGAGGCTCACAACCACGTACCAGGGCCCGACGTGCAAACACAGGAGCTCAGCCCATCAGAGCCCTCTCCAGGAAATCTGACTGGGAGACGTGGATGGACAGGACTGGCGAGCAGTGGTGCTGAAGGGACAAAGGGGCGGGAGGTGGACATGGGCCAGGACGAGCCTATGTGCGCTGACACTGTGAGGGGTAGGAGGTCACGGCAAGCCAAAGAGGGTCAAGAAGCTGCCTGGCCCAGGGAAGACACGAATGGACACATATGGAAAAGCACGTGCCCACTGGTCCTGGTTTTCAGGAAGATAGAAATGGTGGAGACAGAAGAAGAAAGGATGCCTGGGCTGGAGAGGAGGAAGGGAAGGGTACCAAAGCATCAGGGAAAGGCAGGAATGAGCAGATGCTGGCCCATCAGAGGCGTGATGCAGAGTCCTCTCACTTTGCTTTAAGCACCTGTGTGAAACATTCCTTTAAAAAAAAAAAGGAAAAGAAAAGAAAAAAGCAAACACTGATAACCCTCTAGAACACACATAACGTCCTAAATTCTCCCCCCAAAATACTTGCCCCACAGGACAGTCAGGCTTCTCGCCTAGTCTCAGCTAGAATAAGAAGAATCCTTCCTACCAGGTGTGGACTTACATTTTGTTCTGTAGACAGGGTTCATGTAGTTGATCACATACCAGACAAAGGGAAGACAGCACCATGGTCTGTAAGTTTCATTAGAGTGAATAACAGAGGATAAATGACAGAATAAACAGGAGCCCAGTATCCACTCCATTTCTAGATATGACCTGCAATCAACATACTACATTACTGCCAGTCCCAAACAGCCTGTCACTGCCATTTAGCACCATGCACTGTGCACAGGCCTTACCCTAATCCTGAGGTTCTCCAGTTTCATCCCAACCGTGAGATGGGATTGGGTAGGAAACTCTTCCATAAAACCTCCAATTTACAGGTTTCCCTTTCCAGGTAAGCAGAAACATTAATTTCTATTTAGGCTGCTTGCATGAGCCTGTTTGTCATTCTTGCTGGATCCTCTGCTTTCACTGGGAAAGCTGGACACCAAAGGTTTACTAAAAAGTCAAGTCAAAAGTAAAATTAAAACACACTCTCCAGACCCTGCAGAGTGCAAAAAAGTGACTCCAGCCTTCGTAGAGCTGCAAACACAATAGTGAACATGTACCACTTGGCATGTGGCCCACAGGTCTCATTATCTTACAGTTATACCCGGATGTCAAACATCAGTGTTGGCATTTAAAGCCTATGGAGTTGGTGAGTGTTTAAAATGGTTCTTGTGTGTCTTTTGCAAAAGTTAAAGTGAAGAAAAGGCAGGTCTGTTTAACACAGCATGTGTTTTTTTCCCAATTAGCCAGTGACAAGTCACAGGGAAGTCATAGAGGTACTTACTATTTATAACCCATGGCCACATCCACAAAATACTTTCTTCTCTGTCGATAGACATTGTCCTTAAATCCCTTAAACATAAAAGAGATTAATTATTTAACAGAGTGCCAAAAAATTAGCTACAGAAGGCCTAAAAGAAAACTACTCTGGTGTTTATTGAGATGTAAATTTTATCCTTGGAGGACCATCTTGATGACAGGCTGAAGCGAACTGTGCTTACAGTAAAACCTCATTAAACTTAGGCTATACTAATTTGGGATGTGTGGAAATTCAGGCTGAAGTGAACAACATCCTTTGGTTTTACAGTATCATCTACATGTAATTGATCTTAATCACAAATGAATCTTATCCTGTTCATTAAAACAGGCCCCTTTAACATGGCTATTCAGTAAGCTAGCCTAAATATAATTGCTTTGAGTAAATAGCCAATAAATGTATTAAAAATTCTATCATTCAAAATAATCATCAAATTCCCAAATTAGTGTGAATTAAAGAGGTTTTGCCGCATTTTACGAGTATAGCCACACAATGCAAAATAGATTATAAGGGATTCATGCACTGGATGGCAGGTTAGCTCCATTCCACTCTGAGTGACTATGATTTTAATTGGTCTTTAGCAACTTCAAGACTTGTATCCATCATCATGCACTTGGGAAATTACACCTTCTGTCTGTCATTCTTCAGTCAAGTGGAATCCTTCTGAGGGAACTTCCTGTTTTAAACAAGAACCTCTCCTCTTGTCAGTGGACTTTCCATTTTCCTTTCTTTCAGGTACTTTCAATCAGCTCTTTCCAGGATTGTCTCTTCAAACTGCTGGAAGCCCAGAAGGATTCGTTTCAATTTAACTTCTTACCTATGTTATCCCTGCACCCTCAAAGGATAACCAGGAGGCAGCAGCCACTCTGAGAATGGAGGCCAGATAAGAACACAGGCTGCTGAGATCATGAGCTTGGAGTGGAAAGCTGGGACAGGCCCACGGAGGCACAGACCACCTCTGCTGCTGCTTAGACACTTCTGCAAGGTGGGCTGTTTAAGAATAATCTCAAATTCATGGAAAATCATTCTCTGCTTTCATATGCCTGAAGGGGAACTGGCCTTGAGGCCAGAAATCTTCACAGGACTGTCTGCCCCACTGATGTGAAGCATCTCCATTGCCTACAGCCTTTGCCTCAAAAGAGAGTTACTAATAGAGGGTGATGCAGAAAGTGTGTGAGATCACCCAGACACCCTTCAGGATGAAATACCCTCTCCCTCAAAGCTAGCACCTTCTTTCTGATGCTATGAGTTTGGGGTTTTTTGACTGGCATCCACAGGCAAGCTTGCGAAGCCTGAAAATGTGTGTATACATGATGTTGTGACCATAGTTACAACATTCACAAATGGGTCTGTGACCTAAGAAAGGGTCCCCTGCTTTGGAGGGTAGATATGGTCATGCTAGAAAGTACATTTCAACACTCACTAGTAATATCACCTAACCTGAGGTGGTAAATCTGAAGAGTCCCCAGCACCCTAATTACTCAGAAAGAAAGCAGGCTGTGACAAAAGGAGAAGAGTCATGTGAAAGCTCCACATCTGTTCCCCTGTTCCTGCCAAACCAGACACCACCCTACAAACATCACAATCTACCGGGCTTCCAGAAGAATCTCAAAGGTCTCTCCTCAGCAAACACCTGCACATTTTCCAGGCATGCAAGAGAGTGATTTACTCATCATGCCTCATTAGGCTAGTTTGGCAGTGATTATGCAAATGTTGTGACGATCCAGAGCTTCCAGGATTGAACCCTGGCCTGGCAAATTACAACAGGATGCGAGCTACACTAGTGATTGCAGAGACACGGTCTTCCTTGGCTATCTATTCTGGACTGAAGCCAGGGATAAGGCTGTCAGATAAAATAGAGGGTGCTCGTGCAATATTTGGGGCATATTGATACTAAAAGATTTTTCCTTATTTGTCTGAAATTCAAATTTAACTGGGCATCCAATATGTTTACTTGCTAAATCTGGCAACCCTAAGGCCCAGAGAGAATCTGCTGCACACCCAACCCTTCCTCTCTCAGTTTAAATCAAGAACTGAAGACTCAGCCCGCATTCTGAAGTGCTCAGTTATGTGTATGTCAGCACTCAAGTAGTCATCCCAAATAGCTCAACCTTAGTGGAATATTACAATCATCTGGGAGCTTTAAATAATATTCCAAACCTAGGCACATTCCCAGAGGTTCTGATTTAAGCACTCTGAGGTGAGACCCTCAGTTTTGCTTTTAATTCCCCACAGATGATTTGAATGGAAAATAAGAGCTGAGAATCCCTTACCTAGGACATTTGGCAAATCCTTTTAAATGCAAAGTTCCAGGGTCCAGCCATGATAGTTCCCATACAACAGACTTCGGGAGATAGACTTTGGGAGAGCCTCTAGGTTGCATTTTAACAAGCAGCTTATGGGCAGACCTTGAACCTGACTTTGAAAGACCCTCCCAGGCTAGGTCCTTGCTGCTCACAGTGTGGTCCCCAGACCTCCGGGGTAAACTTCCACAGGTAGCTAACAAGAAATGCAGAATCTCAGGCCCGCCCTCTGCATTTTGTAAAGATGCTCCAAGTGATTTGCTTGGCCTTTAAACTTTGAGAGGCACTGGTCTACCTAGATATTTAACCCTTTCTAGGGAGCTTCAGCAACCTGACTTACATTCCAAGCCCCTTCAGAGCCATCCTAACACAATAATTCATCTCAGGACTGGGATTATTCCGAAGCATAAAAAGCCCTTAGACAAATTTATCCATCCTCATCAAATAATAGCTTATAAAAAACACCAGTTTACCTACCAATACCAAATTTTGCTTAAACAAAGATTTGGTGTGCTTAAAGAACAAATAGATGTGGCCTAAAAAACTAACTGTGACATAGGAAATTGTTAAGTACTTGCAATTATTGCAAGTGACTGCACAGAAAGTAGGAGAAGGTAACATAAAGTGGGTGTAATTAGGAGTAACAGAACAAAAATTAAGCACAGGAAAATTTATGCTGGAGGTCAGAATCAAGTTTTTCACAGCAAGGTCAGTGGTTCCTGTGGTTGTCCCATTAAAATGACTGACCCCCCATCCTCCAGATTGAGTGATTTCCTAACTAGACTAAGGAGACCATTTGGAAAGAGGAGGTTAGGGAGAAATCCTTTACTGTCCAGGCATTGATCTGGATGATTTAGTACAGCATTTCCATTCCTGGAAGTAAGCATTTACTCTTGCCAAAATGCTTTCCAGTTGTTTTATTAACTAGGCTTTTCAAATGTCCCTTTGAGGACAATAAGAATTTTATTTCCACTTTTTACATAAAGAATTTGAGATGCACAGGTAGAGGGACTTGCCCAAGGTCATCCTGCATGTTAACAGCTGGTGTCTGGGTAGTTCCATTACTGCTGAACTCTTAAATCAGGCTTCTGGGCTAATTCTGACTCCTCTGGAGGTGGGGAAGGGGAAGATAACAAATGGATGATTACAAAAGGCACTTTTGAGTGTTTCCCTAATGTTCAGGGACCTTATATGTGAATGAATGTACATTATTCCAAAATTCTAGGCTATGCTGGCAAATATAACACAATGTCTTTCAGTGGATTCTATTTTTTTTTAATAATGCTGTCTGTTTGACCATTTGTTTGAATAGTGTGTTATGAACTGGTTTGAATTGGTATATTATGCCAAATGACTGATTGATTGGACATGTCCCTCTTACTGAAGTAGTCCTCGTTTCCTTTAAAGCAGTGGTTCCCAGCCTTAGGTATGGGCCTGTTGAAACAGCTCCCAGGTGACGCTGCTGCAGCAGGTCGGGGACCACACTCAGAAAACCATAGCACAGAGTGTAATCACACTATCAGATTTCCAGATTTCCTCCATTTAAATAAAGTATCTGTAAACCGTTATCCTCAGACCAGAAATCCCTCCAATAAGTATGACCCATCCACTTGGGTCTCACCCTTTTACTTGCCCATTTTTAGATAAGGGGTATGGGGGCGGCCAGGAGGGGGGATGTTGTAATGTACAAGTACACTGCTTACTTCTCCCAGACTATTAACCATACTTCATTGTGACCATAAAGAAGTTCCAGGTCTCTTGTGTTAAATAAAAACTGATGTAAAGAGGGAGGGAGGAAATAATGGGAATGCTAACCTACGTATCATATTTCTTTAAAGGCAGTCATTTTTATTGAAGTAAAAGAGAGATGGCGGTAAATAGATTCAGGGCAGATGTAGGAAGAAATGTGTCTTCCATCACAGCCTTATTCTAAAGCCCTCTGCCTTTCCGTTGAGGCTAAAGTCCATCACATTACTCTACTTCTAACTACCTCCAGTCGAAGAAAACAGCAAAGGGAATTTTATTCTCTCACTGAGCCCCATAATGCCTACTCCTCCCTAATTTTTCAAAGGGGTGATCAATTTCAGTTCATCCTTTTTTGCAAGGTTCACTATCTGAGCATATATTTCAGGCTAATTCTGTAGAAATATTCTCCAAGGTTTAGAATCTCCTCCTCTATCCAACCCTTTTAAAAATAGATGCTATGCAGAAATGCCATCCTTCTAACCTGCTTCAAGCCAACGCGTATGCACAGAGAAGTTTTATCATTCAGAAGTCTGCTGTCCATATTGTGGATAAATATTAAATTGCTCTACAATGAAGCACTGCAGCACAGAACAGGGCACATTGCCCGGCACATGGGCAGAGCTGTACGAGCACGTGCAGAATGGGTTTCACAGGACACTTACTGGGTGATCGGCATCAAGCTCAGAACCATACATGAGAACTCTCTGAGAGCATCTGTCTAACTCAGAGATCTTCCGGGGGAACCAAGGCACATCCTCTAGCTCTGTTAAAAACAGTGCAGGTTCAAAAACATTAGCTCACAGGTCGTGTTTTCCCCTTTGCCACATTTGTCAGATTGCAAAATCACCCAACAAGCAAAACCTGGCCTTGCCTTCTTCTCCGGTCCAAATGTTCTCCGGTGGATTCAGCGTCACAATTGTAGTTTGAAATTTCAGCAACTGAATGAGCTCATTGAATTCGGTTTTGCCACACTCACAGTCCACGAAGATTTCAACCTCCGAACTTCTTCGCCGGGATTTCCTGGACTCAATATGAACCATGTTGACATGTTTTTCCTGTGGAACATAAGCAACATCTCTAAACTGCCTGGAGGGCACAATAAAAGGGATGCCACGGGTTGTTGCTGTTCAACGCTTCAGCAAGGTGCCAAGGACCCAGAAAGGAGGGAGGAAAAGAAAGGAGAGAGAATCCTTGCTCTTTGGTTGATTGAAACATGGAAATGTGTCCAACCAGTCTCTCTATTAATATGAATAGAGACTGTACGTAGACTTTTCTATCTCATTTAAAAAACGGTGGGGGGAGGCAGTAAGGTATATAAAGGCCCTATGAAATGTATTATAATTATGAACACGATCATTTCTTAGAGCAGTCCACATCCCACTAGTGGTGTGTGTGAGTATTTGGGGGGAAAGTTAGCTTATCCTATTATCATATAATCCCCATTTATATTTTTATTTTCTTATTTTTCCAAAGAACATAACTAAAACTCAAACCCCTGGTTTTCTAGTGGTATAAAGTTCCCACTATGAATTAAAATTTAATAATAAAATAATCTTTGAAAAAAATAAGTGAATAGTACAAATGGCAGAAAAAGGAGGCAAAACTGAGAAGGTGGTAGGAAAATGACTGATGTTTGGGAAACAAGGGCCAAAGTGTAGCCCACTGTGGATAAAATGAAGGCTCCTGTGGCCAGGATTCTTACCTGGCCCTGATTGGCTAGCTCACTGCACACGTGTAGACAATATGTTGTTATTGAGTCTATATAAAGAGCTCCACCTAGTGCTCTGGGTGACATGGTGGCATGGCTGCAAGGCTACAGGAGAGCAGAGCAGAGGCTGGAGTGGGGGCAGCACTGGGGACAGAGGCCCAGAGGTAGAGACTGACTTGCTGAATGCAGACTCACTCTGAGTGAATGGGATTTTAGTGACTGACCTGCCACGATGGAAATAAAATTGGGTATAACCCTTTCACCCCAAGAACATTCTACTGTTATTTCTTTGATCACACTGAATCCATAGTGAACTTGACCAGAGCTGAAACCCATTGGCAAGACACCCACATTGTAGGAAAAGATAAGGAAGCAAGGTAAGTGTCCATCAATAGATGAATGGGTAAAGATGTGGTACATATACACAGTGGAATATTATTCAGCCATAAAAAGAAAACAGATCCTCCCATTTGCAACAACATGGATGGATCTAGAGGGTTTTAGGCTCAGTGCAATAAGCCAGGTGGAGAAAGACAAATACCAAATGATTTCACTTATTTCTGGAATATAAAAACAAAGCAAAACAGAAGGAACAAAATGGCAGTAGACTCATAGACAGTGAGAAGGGACTAGTGGTTACCAAGGGGGAGGAGATGGTCCAGGTGGGGGGAGGAGGAAGGGGATAAAGGGGCACAATAATTCGCAATCACAATGTAGGTTGGTCATAGGGATGTAGTGCAGCTCAGACAATACAGTTAATGATTCTGTAACATTTTACTATGTTGATGGATAGTGACCACACTGGAGGGGGTGAGGATTTAATAATATGGGTGAATGTTGAACCACTGTGTTGTATATCTGAACCAACATAAGACTGTATATCAACCTCAAATGGGGTCCCTTTGTACCCATTCTCTTTCAGCACCCTCCAGGCCAGCTTCATGCAAGCATGTGTGGTGAAATTAGCCCACACTGCATGTCAGGGGGAAAGTCTCCTTACAATAAGGTGTCTGAGGAGGGCAGCAATTTAATATTTAACATTTAATTTTTTATTAAACATTCAATTTGATATTTCAACATTAAGTTTAAATTTCCCCAGTGATGTAGTCTTCTTTTCCCCTGAGTTACATGAAAACTAAGTTCTCCTCTCCACCCTAACCCACCCCCAAACAAGCAGATAACTCCCCCAGCACTCCACTCCACAGGGTGTACTCTGATTACCAATGCAATTCCTAAATAAAATCTTGCCTGGTCTCAGAATTTCCAGCACAGAAGCAGGTCAGTGCCAGAGCTAGGTAAAATCAAACGGCATTCTCCTCTATATAAAGAAACTAGTCCTGTGACTGGAAACCAAATGCTCTATTTCTGTTTTTATTAACCTTTGCAGTAATGCCATATTTTCTAAATTGGCTGGTAATAAAGGTAAGATTAATGTTAAGTTCAGTGTTCAAGGGTCTTCACACACTTTGTGTCACTTTGGGCTTTTAATGCCCTTTAGTTAAAGCAGAATGGGATATTTTTTAGACAAAGGAACTGAGGTCCAGACAGTTACGCGGTTTAACTAAGACCCCACGACTGGCTGATAGCCAAGTGAAAACTCTGAGCTGCTCGGTCCTTCTGCAGGGATTTTTTCCACTGCCCCCAGCTGTCTAATTGATTTGGCCTGCCTTTGGGCACTGCATAGGCACAGCGGTAGATGATATCATTATAAGTAAAATATTTCCCCAGGTTTCCATTACCACTGTTTATGGTGCCTGACCTTTCTTCAAGGTCAAGAGAGAACAAGGAAATATTTGCCAAGCCAGGCTGCTAATCCCCCCTTGATGGTCATCAAAGAGGCATCACAATAATGCCTCCTATCTGTGCACTTTACAAAGCACTTTCACACGGAGTATTCCATCACCATGACCTGGTTAGGGAGGAATTACTAGTGCTATTTCAGAAATGAAGAAACTGAATCTAGGAAGCCGCTCGTCATCAGCCAAGCCAGGAGAACACAGGTCGTAATCCTCCGACCGCACTGCCGACCGTCTTTCCTCTGCGCCAGCCGCCCAGTGCGCGCCGCAGAGCAAGGCGCCCTGTCTCCCGGCTCCCAGCGGCAGCCCGTGTGCCCAGGCAGCAGGCAGACGGCGGCTGCGACGGAGTGCTGGCTGAGCGGAACTGGAGCCGTCAGGTGCACGCTGGCAAGAAGGAAACAGCTTCTCTGGGCTTTTCTAACCGCGCCCTCCCCCAGTCTCTTTCTCGAGGATTCAGTCCCCTGACTCAAGCCTCCTGAAAAGGCATTTCTACATAATAGAGAACTAGCCCTGCCTCACTCATTTATGAGGAGACTGACTCATTTGTGCAAAAGACACACTGAGTTCATGAAACGAGGCTGCGGAGAACACCGAGCACCTACACTCAGGTGTCCTATTTCATGCAATAAGTGTGTAGGACATGTGTGCCACTCAAATGTTAACAAATCCAATCAGGCTGCAGGCTTTTGATGTTTAAAGATACTCGGGCTCCTTTGCATTTGCATTTCCAGGTGTGAGGCTCACATTTTTTAATTACTGACTTCCTCATCTGGTAACAGCCTGCAGAATTACTAATAGACTAACTGAATTAATACAAACACAGTTCACAAATCTGAGCATTTCATTGTCTGGCAGACAAACTCCCCTTATAGAGCCTCACGAAGTTTGGTTTCTTTGACCCTTTCAACACATCATCCAGATATTGATTCAGTAATGTTTCATAACAGATGAGAGGTTAGTAACCAGGCACACCGTCACTTTTAAAGTTATGTAATGATATTTCACATTCACCTGAAAGAGTTTCAGAGCTTTCACCAATCCACCAACTTCATTCTTCAAGGAGAAGACAACTGCCATCTTGCCACTTTCTGGAGCAGTTTCACTTTTGCTGTTTCCCTTGTTGCCTTTTTTATCATCATTTTTGCCAGAGTTAGCTTTACTTAGCTTTAAGAGGGTAGAAGCACACACACACAAATATTAGTTAGGATTCCAGCGTTCTCTAGAACCAGTGTTTTCAGCATTCCATTCATATGCTGAAGCCCCAGCAATGACACAAACCCAAGAAGTGGCCATGTCCCTCGTGACCATCAATCAGAAATATTGGCCTAATTCACTCTGGGACACTATTTTCCAATGCTCTAAGATATCACCCAGTGTTTGAAGTTAATAATTTTAGTTTCAATTACATTAGAACATACACTGAAATTAATAACCTTACTTTCTGCAGTTAGATCCATGTCGTCAACGTGAATCTATCTGCAGAAGTTCAGCTCAAAGGAGTGTATTCAACTAAGGTCATCTGTGTTGGCAGATGATACCTGAAAAGTTGCGGTTAAAATTCACCTGCAAACAAAAGGAAGAAGGAAAAGATGGAGAGAGGAGGGCAGGCAGGAAGGAAAGTAGCTATTCTTTAGGAGCAGAGTAAAATTTGAGAAATTAAAAAAGATGAATCCTTCATTAGCCATTCAAGATACTATAACATATGACTAATTAATAACTTGTAGTTCTATTGGCTAAGGACAAAAATGACAGAGTCCTGAAACCCAGGTCACGTGGTCAGAAATACAGAAAAAGCTGCAGTGAGTTTTGTGTTCTTTGTTTGCCAATGCAGATAGGGGCAAAAAGAGAACTTTCTCCCAGGCAAATACTGATAGAGCACAATTGCACTCATCTATTACTTCCTCATGAAACTAACAAATGTACATTTGATATAGAACCCAATGAACAGTCACTCGCCATTGTTTTTGTCTGATTACTGGCTTTATTTTCACGTTAGTATTGCCTTACTAAATTTATGTATCATAGAAATGAATATTTCATTATTTGTGACTTGAGAGAAAGAAGAAGCTTATTCAGATTCTGGCATTTGACAGTATGTTCAGTCCTCAAAAGCTCAAATGTCTTCATACTCTCAACATCTGCCTCCTCCTCACCACATAACTTGCAAATCTATACTTAACTAGCATTTTTACATGAAAGTGTCACACACTAACTTTAACTCTGAGTTTTCTTTGTTTTCCTTGTAGCAGCTCATTCTGACTTCCAAATTCCTCGGTGTAACATCTCATCCAAATATTGGTGATACTGATACTTAAATGTTAGAAAATCTATCTACGTTTTTGGTCTCATTTTTGCAAGTTGATTTAAATAGTTCTACAAAATTTGCCCTGATTACTTTTCAATATTTTGAGTGGTAATTATATATCAGAACAATACAACCTTCTGGCACATATTTAGAGCCACAATACTGAAACAGGATTTTCTATGAAACAGACAAAACTGTAATTGGTTGATAAACTTTCATAGTACAGGAATGAAACAGCATTTAATTCTTTAATGACTAGGAATTCTGAATACATTTTTTTCCTGTCCTTTTTATTAAATCCCACGACTATTACTTCAAATCAGAATCTAAAATTCTGCAAAATACTACTTTCTGTATTCTGTGTATAAATACAAAAGCCACCTTAAATGATGGAACAAGTGGTATATTGCTTTCATTATTCCCGAAATTAAACTGAATAAATGGAGTGATGAGGAAGGCAGGTAAACTTCTGAAAGGAACCAATATTTCTTTCATCTTAATACCCAGCACCGATAGGCAAGAACAGAAAATACTACTGGTGTGTGTAAAAAGACTAGGCTTCCTAGCTGGAAGTGGGTATAGGAGGCACAACCTTCTTGCAGGAACCGTAGGAGTCTGATTTCCTCTCCCTGTTCCTACTCATAATACATGGCTTTTTGAAATTCTGCACACTTTTTTTGGTTGTGGAAATGACATTGGTTCATACAACCTCTTGTTCTTGAAATTCAGCAACTTATTTCCTTTCTACTTGGGAACTTTGCAGAGAGGAAATTTAGCGAAGGAAGCCTGGAGGCAGATGGGGGGCAAAGCGGTAACAGGGTGATAGAGGAAGGCGCTGAGGTGTGCGTGTTTACTCTACACCAGGTGCACATACGGCAAGGATGAGACGATAGCTACCCTACAAAACACTCCTCCAGAGAGTGCCAGCTACTCAGTACTCACGGTTAAGCTGCCAAGCAGCTGATGCTCTTCAGGCACCGCTGAGTCCAAGGAAAGCCCTCTCCTGGCCCAGTATTTACTGGAAAACATCATCATTGCCGGCTGCATGGATCCCGATGTAATCTTCTTTCTCCGCAGTAGGGGGAGCTCGAGGGGCGCAGCGACGGCGGCGGAGCCCGGGAAAGGGCCTGAGAGCGCCGCGCTTCCAGAGCCCTCGCGTCGGAGACGGAGCAGTGCGAATCCTCCCTCCCCAGGCTCCTTTATATGAGTGACTGGGGGCTGATGGAAAGCTGATTAGAAAGAAACTCATTTCTGGCTGCCGATGGCCACGGTCAGATTACAGACCCGAAGCCTGGGGTTATCTGTGCTCGTGGTGCCGCTTGTTTCATAGGTCGAGTAGCAGCTGGGACGTGGGAGGTGAACAATGCAAAACGGGGTGTTATTTGTAAAAGAAAACATCCGTCCCTGACGCTAGCTCTCATCTCTCAAACCCGCTCTTGGCAAGTTAACCTCGACCTTTCAAAGGTTTTGTGTTCTCTCTCGAAGAGAAGAAAATAACTTGAGAAAGATGAGCACTGCTGACCTAAACCGACTTTTGTTAGTAGGTTTTTCTGATCTGATGTGTTGTGCGCGTAGCATGTGTAGGCAGCTGGAGGGTGATGGTTTTCATAAAAGGCACTGTCCCGTGATGCCGCTATGCGGTATTGTTCAGGCGATTGTATTTCAGAGGGAATGTGACTTCGACTTTGCCACATAAAGAGCTGAGACACTAACTCTGGAATCTTCCTACGTGAGAAGAGGAAACCAAATGTCTGTGTATCACATTCCTTTCATGATATTGATGGAATGTTTCCTCTCCACTTACAACTAGATCAAACCAGCAACTGGAAATGCATAGATGAACTGATGTACTTAAAAGCTATTCAAACTTTGTAAGTCATGACTCACCACATCACAAAAAAATATTACCAGCCTCCTGAAGGATGGAAGACTCTTGACCAATGTGCTTGTTTGACTACAAATCTAAACAAAACCTGGGGCTGGCACTGCTTGTCTCTCTAGGAAACAAGATGAAGATGTTTCAAAACAGGAATGGATGAACTAATATTACTTAGAGTTTAATTATCTCTAGAGTATTGAGGGGACATAATTACTATTTGATGTGATTTTAGAAATATTGTTTGCCTTGTATGTCCTCTAAAAATCAGGTCTGATGAGCTAGTAAGAAAATGAGGTTTAAATAGATTGAAGTAATTGTGATAATATAGCTAATATTACTACGTGCTATTTATTTGCCAACTTCTAATACTTAAGGTAAAAACATGATTCATCATCTCAACACTTACAAAGCAGAAACTGTTATTTCCACTTTACAAATGGGGAAACTGAGGCACAAAAATTTTGGGTAACTTGCCAAAGATTCATACAATTAGAGAGTGGCTGAGGCAGAACTTAAATTCAGGTAGTCTGACCCCAAAATCCATACTCTCAATCAGTACACTATACGGCTTCTTGAATATTCCAACAAGAAAACAAAAGAAGGCTCAAGAGACCTACCTACATAGATTATTTCGGCTCGAACAGGTTTGGGGAAGATACGTAATTCAACAAAGATTTAAATACTCATTTCCTGTTAAGCACTGAAACTTAGTCCAGGCCATGCAAAGATGAATGAAATACAGTGCCTATGCTCAAGGGGTCACAGACTAGCTGAAAGAAACACATGCAAATAAGAATTTATCTACGGAAGAATTTAGAAGCATTAGGGACAGAGGGCTTAATGTCACCTTAGAGAAGTCAGGAGAGGCTTCTAGGAGGTGTTGCCTGTGCTGAATATTTAAGTGAGTTTGTGTTTGTTAATCAAAATGGAATTGGGGATAATAAGGAGGTGATTCCAGGTAGAGGAAACAGTAGTATACAGGGAACTCTTGTAGCTCAACGATGGAGTCTGGGTTTGGGACAAAGGTGCCCAGTGAGAGATGAGGCTGATTGGGAGACCAGGGTCCAAGTCCTAATCAATCTTGAAGGGCATTCGGTGGGCTTTGCACTTTATCACCTTATCCTGTAGGTGGAAGAGAACAATTCAAAGGGCTTATGTGAGGCAAAAGTAGCAGCTTGGAGGATATAAGAGTGAAGGTATAAATCACTTAGGACTTGAAACAGTCTAGAAAGGAGATGATGACCTGGATTAGGGCAACAGCACAAAGGATTCCATGAAAAAATAAGACGTTAAGGGGTAAAATTCATAGGACATCTCTACTTCGAAGTGGAAGAAAAAAAAAGTACCAGAATAACTCCCAAGTTACTAACTTGGGGGACTGAGTAAATGACAGTGTCACACTGAACTAAACCACATATAAATAATAGCATCTTAAGAGAAAAAATTTTTAAGTTAGGTTTTATATATATTGCATGTGAGAATGGCCAAGTGAAGATGTGTAAAATTATTTGGATATGAGTTTAAAATTTGGAATGAGACCTAAGCTGAAAGTCGTCTTGCCCTCTGAGAAGCAGGAATGGGCAGGTGGAGGGTGGGAAAGAGGAAAGACAGTTTCTCATCAAAACAAGTCTTGTGGAAACCACATGCATGTGTGCCACTGATTACAATTTTTTTTAATTTAAATAAAATTATACTGCACAAAAATAGGGCATTCATTTTGAATACACCCGAGTTTAAATCTTGGATCTGCCATTTACTGTGTTTGAGAATATGTTCTTTATCAGCCTCCACTTCTGTAATCCAAGAGTGATCAATAAAAGTACATCTTATATGGCTGTTCATGCAAATTAAATTGGATGTGTGCAGTGTTTATCAGTGTCTAATAGATATTTGATGCTCAGTGAGTTATCTCCCTATCGTATCCTGAGGTAAGTGTGACACAAATTTGTAAATTAGTTTGGAATCTTTGGCAGAAATTAAGGAGATATGGGTATGTAGGTTTTGATTAGGCAGCCATCCATATAGTCCATGATGAGCAGGTCACGATGAGTAAACAGAATTGGTTTGGACCAAGCAGTTAAAAAAGCCCAAGAATCATAAAGTGGGCAAGGGAGTATGACAGTGTAAAATGAGATACTGTGAGACGAGACCTCAAAATACAAGATCTGAATGGTGAATTGGCCATGGATTCATAAATGGGCCTGCTGGGTATACAAAATTAGGGGTTTTACATTAAGGACACCATGAGTCCTCAACATAGGTATCTGACCTCATTGAGGGCAGTTGTGAAAACAAGAAATAACATAAGCAGCTCTTAAATCACCGAAAATGGAAGTGGATCCTGGGAGGTTGTAGACTCCCAGGGCAAATATATAGAAAAGGGGATACAAATGGATGACGGGCACCAAAAAACCACAGCTCAAGGTTGGAATCTCTCAAGGATTCACTGCATGCCAGAAAGCTATCAAATGCATTAAAGACTTGAATATAATGTTCACAATTATTCAAATCCTCTCACAGAATCAACTCCTATTCTCCTAAACTAACCTTAAGTCTAATTCTGAACTTGAGTTGAAGATACAGAAAACTCAGCAACCCAAACACGTGAAAAGCATTGCAAAACTGAATTGACCAAAAGAAATGGGAATTTCTGTAGTAAAGAAACTTTTTTACCCAGTGTTTGAGGGACAGAGGGCGGGTTCTCATGTCTGCAATGACCCAGTTGTAGTCCTCTTGGGACCAAGAGAGAAAAGATTAGGGAAAAGGGTTCTGCTGAGACTGTGATGGCCCCAGGATTCCACCCTCTGAACTCAAACGGCTGGGCCTCGGCCGATATATTTCCTTAAACTCCCTCCTGAGGACGTGCCTCTGCCCAGACTAGCCCACCCACTCTCTTAAGTTAGTTCATGAAGCTAGGGGTTTTTCATCACACTTGTTAAGAAATGTCAATGAAATTTTGTTAAATTTCTCACTTTAAATTCAACAAATTTAAACAAAATTTCACAAAATGTCCTTTCCCCCTCTATCTTCACCAATAAAACCTTGGCACAAATCAAACTAAACGGAAAGTTTAAAAGCTAGTTTGGAAAACACTTAATAGGATGTGAAGGAAACTGGTGAGAACCTTAAGACAGTGTTTCTCCTCCTTTGGGAAGTTCATTAGCCTTTATTTGAGAAATCTTAATAGCTCTGTAAACCAAAACAGAACTGAGTTTAAATTGAGAAATTTAACAAAATTCAGTTTTTAGACTTTTTTTATACCCCTACAAAAGAATGTTATCTTGAATTTTGTCCTTTTGGGGAAGGGGATGAGGGGTAGAGTGTTTTAATAGAATTTACTTGTATTAAGAGTAAAAAAAGTGAAATTAAAGTTCACTTAGAAAATTCATTCACTCTTTATATTAAAATAATCTATTTGGGTTAGATACTATTACACAGCTAATAACTTCATAGTCAGCAAATACTCCATTTTGCTCATTTAACACTTGACTGTCTAACAAAAAGCATGTGGGCCAAATTTGCTTTGGCTGTATCCTGCATGTTTGTGCCCAGCAGACAGCAGCATGCAGTGTAAATGCTGGGCATTCAGAAGCACCTTGATGGCTTCTCCACTGGAGAGCAATTTGCTCTTATAAAGTGAGCCTGTGACAACCACGGAAGATTCTAGGGCCTTGTATGATAAGGCCATACAACATCTAAAGCAATCTAAGAACAGCCTTATTTGTGTTTTAAAGCAGTCTACTAATCCACTGGGTCTAGTGCCTCCAATCAGACTAGTATGGTGTTGGAAATATCTATTACTGTCACAGAAAAAGCTCATCTCCGAGGTTAATTAAGTCTTCTTAATTAAAAAAGCTGAAACCAGAATTAGACTGCTCACTGATCACAACTAAGCTTACTGGAATTTATTCTGTCTTCTTTTGCACAGAGATAAAAGATAAGTGAGGAGCAATATACCATAGATATTAAACAAGCATATATAAAAACTGACCTCCTATTATCTTAACATTCCAATTCTAACTTTAGGGATTGAACTACATTAGGTAAATATGGTATTTCTGATTCCTGATAGTTCTTAAGAGACTTTGATTAGTTTTTCTTTTTAGTGAGTTCATTAACAGCATCATTTCCCATGGGTTCAATGAGTGTTTGCAAATCTCTTGCAAAG